CCCGTCCTCCTAGATATCTGCTCCATATCTCCAGATGTTATTTTGCTCTTTGATTCATACTTTCATGTGGTTATTCATTACGGGTCCAAAATTGCTCAATGGAGGAAGCTTGGGTATGACAAGGATTCAAACCATGAGAATTTGAGGAAGCTGTTGGAAGCCCCGGAAATAGATGCAGAGCAGTTGGTGGCTGACCGAGTTCCTGCACCTAGGCTTATTAAATGTGACCAGCATGGTAGCCAGGCAAGGTTTCTTCTTGCAAAGTTGAATCCATCTGTTACCCAAAATTCAACATACTCTAATGGCTCAGATATTATTTTTACTGATGATTTGAGCTTGCAAGTATTTTTAGATCACTTGCAGGTCCTGGCAGTGCAAGGCTGATGAAGAGGAGCACTGTATATAGCTTTTTTTGATTAACCGATGTCATAGAAAAGAAATTTTTGTGTATATTTGAAGAGAGAAAGGTGTGTAGTTTGTATTTACCAACAGTTGATGCTTTTGAGTACGAATCATATGTTTTTTAATTTTTTTTGCGTTTTCGGTTGTCTCTTTTCTTATCATTTTTGTCACTAGAGTTCAAGCGGTTGTCTCAGTTTCCCGCAGTTTTGAATGAATACAAGTAGCTGCGTATCTAGTGTTTATGATATTAGCTTCTTCCCTGGTTGCATCTTTTTAAGCTCTTCTTTATAATAAGTCACTATTTATGTTCATTTCACATTGGCAAATCATAATTTGAATGATTTCTTAGGCACTGGCCATCTGGTCATTTTTGCGCCAGTTTGAGGAAGGCTTCTCTGGTCTAATGTTAGATAGGGTGAAACTGTGGGGTTGTTATCTGGTATTTTTGTGGCTCCTTTGTCTCCATTACAACTTGAATTGGATGCTGTGGTAAGTGATTTGTTCTTGGAACCTGGTTGTTGGAACATTCATCTTCTAGTACAGGTTCGCTTTGGGCGATTTTCGTCTACACCTATATCACTCAATCCGCCACCATTTTTCTTCAAATTTAATCAATGAGATGAGAGATATGAATGTTGAACCTCCTATAATATTGCGAAAAGAAATATCACAACACAAAGTTTTTAATATTTAAATTGCTCATTTATGTAATTTAATAGAGGGGTAAAACTGTAATTAGGCGTTTTTGAAAGACAGATGGAGTTGTTGATAAATACCAAAATTGAAACCCAAATGCTTAACTCTTATGACATGTTTAATTACAGGGAATGAGTTGTGATGAGTATTGGAGTAGTTCATCCAATTCCAACTCTGATTCCTTCTCTCCTAGATTTGTGACGTTCCACATTCCAAGTAAATAAACATGTTACTTCATAACATGTTTGATCCTTTTTTCTTTTAACAACTATTGGCCATGAAATTTGAACTAAAAGACCTCATCCAATAGGATGAAGACTAGATGCCACTAGAAGAAATGGTCATTGGCCTAAACAAGTCATTATAGACACAAGTACAAAATCAACACATCAAAACGACTAGTAAATGATGTTCTTTCAGAAATAACACCACTCTTTTTCATTTAAGTTATAACGTGTACAAAATCTACATAGTCTGATTGACAGCGATGAGAGTTAGTTGACAAAATCGATTAAAAACAAGAGGTATTGCCATTGTTTAATTACTATCTTTATTAGTTACCCAAGTAGTCACACGTAGTGTCATTGAATGTAGCACTTTGGGAGAGTCAGAAAAGCGCTTATATACATTCGCCAGACCACAAGAAAGAAAATCCTGGAAGGAAAGCGACTGAAAGGAGAGCGATAGGAGTGTAGATCGTATGAAGATGTGAAGACAGAAGAAAGACGAGAAAGAAATCGATTCAAATTCAGGTATTCTATCTCTTCCTCCTCATGTTTGTAGATATGTTTAAGTGTAAGAAATTAAGCAGAGATGAGGGAAGATCATGAATTAGATGCGCATGTCCTCCATGATCCCTTTCTTGTTAACTTTTGCATTCAAGGTCTGCATTATATTGTTTGGTTGCAAAGATGATTCTGATAAGGAAACAAGAGATTTTCAAGAATAAAAGAAGTAAACACATTTCTCTTCTTCCTTTTTTCTTTTCTGCTGAGAAATTGTTTTTTTATTATAAAAAATTCCGTTGATGTAATTGATGTGCACAATAAAAATTTCCCTCACTGATATAAACACTAAACAAATTTTGTGTTACTACCCAAGTGTTTGATCATTGCACCATATCTTATTTATTATTATTTTTTATAAAAAAAATTCCCTTTTTGCTTTTTGTATCAGCCCCAAATTTTTGTTTTGGTATCACATAATTCTTGTTTTTCGAAAATAAAAATAAAATTATACAAATAATCCAACACAGAGAAATTGTTCTTTCTTCATGGTTGGTGAGGTGAGGTCATCCGGTCCTCAGCTTTAAACCAGAGGCTGACAAATATGACTCACTGAGATGCCACTTGGAGGCACACTGCCTGCATATACCCAAAACGCTTGCATGGCTTTGGCTACATTTACAATTTATAACCGTCCCACTTTTGCATCCTATTCAATTTCTCTCTTTTTCCTTTTTTCTAATGAGGTAAATAAGTAGCTAATCAAACGGCACAAAATGCATGATTAGGTAAACACCAAAGTTACCCTCTTTACTTTTCATTTTAATCATCCGTCAATCTGTAAAGCCCTCCTTTTCTTGTCTCCCCTTTGTTCATCTTCCTGCTATGAAATTGACCTAATTGGAACCAAATAATATCACTTTGTTCCTCTCACTTTTCCTTATTCTTTTATAATTATATTGAACCTCAATTTGCAATTCCCGCATGGCCAAGTAGAAGGTATGACGAATGCTTCTACTTGCAAAAATAACAAACTTACCAAGGAGGACAAAAGGGAGAAAAAGAAAAGTGTAAAACTTACTCTAGGTATCCACTCCAAACATAAAATTCTAACTCTCCCTCTCTTAAAACTCTATTGTCAATGGGATCTAGCCCATTAAAAAATGACATTGATTTGCGGATTAGTAGTTCCATATTTGAACCCTCATGGCACTATGATAGTGTTTGTGCAAGAAACCATCCTCCCCCTGTAGTTTAGACGATTGTTTGTGCTAAAAAAAAAAACTCTACTCCCATTATTCTCTCCCACAATCTTATACACAAATCACACTTCCATACTCTTATATGTTGTTTCTGTCATTTGTTTGAGTTATGGAATAACAAATCATCCTTTCCTAGCATTTTTGTCATGAAGAGCAGTTTCAGGACATAGATTTTGCAAGTTGGATTGGATTGGTGTGTTCTTTGGTGGTGAATTTAAGAATGCAGAATTTATTTCTCATTTTTTCCCAAAGAATCTCACTCATTCATCGTCTCACGCAGCTACTTGATTATTTTTGTTTTGTCTTATATAATTGCCTCATGCAATTCCAATCCACTAATGAATAAGAAAGTGCTTTGCATTAAAGACAAGGTCGGTCGTGATTCTCAAAGCTCACACAAAACTTTGAGTCTTTGACTCTCTCTTATCCAATTTCAACTAACACATACACATCCACATCCACAATGCATGAGTATTATTATTCTCTTCATTATTTTTTTTATAAAAATGAGACTAATTTAGATTATTAACATGAAGTGTTTTATCTCTTCAAGTCTACATGAAAACCCAGACATATTTTTAGGGCATGCCAAAAAATCTACAGCACCAACACATGATTTCCACGTGGCCCTCGCTAACGTGCGTTGGAAATCCCATAGCAAAAGAGAAAAATACAAGAAAAAAGGGGAAAACTTAAAAAGAGTTTAAAGTACAAACTTACCCAAGAAAAAAGAAAAATACAACCCCTTTTTGGATTTTTGGTTTGGGTAAGAATTAATTTGAAATTGAAATAAACCCTTTACGTAGACACACACGCACACCCAAAAATCCACACCAAAAAGAAAAGAAGAAAAACTTGTGGGCGGAGGGAAGCTGCAGTTTAACCCCCTGGACACCATGGGCGTATCTTAACACGCCTATATGTGTTTGTTTCTTTAAACTCAGTTGGCCTTCGTAACAACAACAATACACATAGTTGTAGTTTTCTTTTTCATGCGTGAGTTTGTGTTGTGGGTTTGTTTTTATGTTTTTGGAGGTGAGATTTTAGCTATTGAGCCTCGAACAGATCATCAATTCAACACCAATCCCATTGTCCATTGTCCAAATCGAACAAGACCCTTTTCTCTTCGAATACCTCCAAATCCCACCCTCCCTCCACACAACAAACACACTCTCCCCTTTCCTCCCTCTGTTTTTTTTTTTCTCTGTTTTTTCTCGCCCACCAAACAGGACCCAATAGCTATCGTCAAGGCATAGAATCAGAAACCCCGTATTGGGTTTTGTTTGGATGCTCGATTTCTTGGTGATTCAATTCTAGTTGTTTAATTTCTCGTCCAGAATATTGAAGGTGACATGCACCATGTGATGATGTTGTTGTTGGTACGTGAATTATAAAAATAAAAGAATACAACTCTGTCTCTGTATGTTGTTTTGAGTCTCTCTCTCTTCTCTCTCTCTCTGCTCTGTGTCAGTGTCCAATGCCAATGATGAGTAGCCAGGTGGTGAAGAGAGAGAGAGCAAAACTCGAAGCTTGCATGACATGTCCACTCTGCAATAAAATCTTCAGCGAGGCCACAACCATATCCGAATGCCTTCATACCTGTCAGTACCTCTCTCTCTCACTCTGTGTTTTGCTTTTCATGTTGATACAATTTTATGTCTTTTTGGATCTGATTTCTTGTGTTGAGTTCCTTTTCTTGACATGGGTTCTTTTGGTACATACTATATATGTGGCAAGTCATTAACTTTCCTAGAAAATCCCGGAAAATTATGATCTTGTTGGCACAATGGCTCTGGGTTTATAGGTTTGATTGTGCTTTAAGAAAAAGCTATTTTTGAATCAGTGTGAGTCATATACACGTTGATATTATTATTAGGTAATATGGAAGAATTGCAGAGCCACTATACTTTGCGGGACTGTAATTGTGAATAGGACTTTAAAGATTTACTCGCATTCTTAGAGGACTTGGTAAGTTCATGTAGGTAGCATGCATGCCTCCAATGTTTGTTTCTCCTTTTAAGGGTTTTGATTGTCAGAAATTTTACTTAATTCGCCATGTATTTTTTACTCATTCCTCCTCTAATCTGTTTGGTTTCTTTCTAATTTTGACTCAAGTATATGGATGTGATCTGCGTTAAATGTTTTATGTGCCCATTCTCACAACCTGTTGGTTTCTTTCTAATTTTGACTCAAGTATTTGGATATGATCTGCATTAAATGTTTTTTTTGCCCCATTCTTACATGGAATGCAGATCAAATGAGCTGCATGTTAATTTTCGTTCTATGAATCAATATGACTCGTTTATTTCGGTTTTGAGAACAGTTTGCAGGAAGTGCATATATAAGAAGATAATAGATGAAGAGGTGGATTACTGTCCAAAATGCAAGGGTGATTTAGGGGTTTCTCCACTGGAAAAACTCAGGTATTTGATTACCTAATCTATGTTTATAAATGTTTAAACATTGGCTACTCACAGTGCATGAACTAACTATATGCCATTCTAGAAAATGATTAGATTTTAATCTGGACTATACAAACCTTTTATTTGATGTACAAACTGCTCAATTAGTAGCAAAGGCCCTGCAAGCTGAAGATACTTAAAGGGAAACTACTAGTCTAGTAGCCACTTACCTGTTATTCGAGTCTCTATTGGACACCAGATAAATTTTTTCTTTTCTTTTAGTAATCAATTCCTGTTATGCATCTTATGACCAAAACTCAAATGATAATAATAAGATTATTGGTTCATGCAACGATTTGTTGCAAAGATTCGACTAAGTTGCTGGGGACCCTTTTTTTTCTTTGTCAGTTACAGCAGGGGATCTTTCTCAATCTTCCATGAGATAAATTTTACTCGATAAGAAGATGTTAATACTTTGCATATGAGAAATATGAGTTCTGAACTAGCAGTAGCCATTTTAGAGACTTTACAAGACATTTGCCTAATGTGTGAATGTTTCTTACTTGTTCCATTTTCCATTGTTACCTCAACTGGTGACCAAATATATAGTTGTCTTCGGAAATTTTCATTTCTCTTCTATTGAAATTTCTTGATGGCCTAACATACACTAGCAATTGTAAATATCAGCAATCTTTGAATCTTGATCAAATGTGAGCCTGTGTATTTATTGCAAGATGTCGTTGATTATTCTTGAGGCCATGGCTCAATCTATATCTTATCCACTTGAGAGAGACACAATTTTGAGAATTGATAATATGACTAGAGCAGAGATCCATGCTTGTTTTATGCTTTTTTTTCTTCTTGTCTACAGGGCCGACAACAATTGGGAAGATATAAGGGCCAAGCTCTTCCCTTCTGACAGAAAAAAGGTCAAGGCAGCTGCAGACCACAATGTGCAAGATATAATGGAAAAGACCTTCCCTTCTGAAACAAAAGAGTTTACGGCACCTGCAGACGGCAATGTGCAAGAAATAACGCCAAAGCTCTTTCCTTCTGAAAGAGAACAGGTTAAGGCACCCTCTGTGTCTGCAGTAACATTGCCAGCTAAAAGAAAGGAGAGGTATCTGTCTTCTTTGGTGATAAGTACACCTCGAGTATCGTCCAGCTCTGAAATGAGTGGAAGAAGAAGGTATCCTACAAGAAGGAGTTTTACTCTACGAGAGTCTCTTTCCATTCAGGAGCCTGAGAAGAAAGAGGAAGATTTCCTGGAGAGACTTAACTCATCTGGGACTCTAAAGAAAGATGCAGTATACACCAGACAGGTGAAAGAGGGCTAAGCTTTGGTTTATCTGTGCTTATTATTTTGATATTACAATAATAACTATTTTGCAAGAAAAGGAAAAAAAATTGATTTAATGCATTTACTTCTTCATTTTATTTTTTAAAACATGTTGAATTTCATTTTTATGCAGAATTCTACTGAGGGATCATCCAAGCAACACATCGTTAACAAGGGTGTAGAGGACAATGCTCAACCAGGGGATGGGAAAGCTAATTTGTGGAAACCATTAAACCGCTTGGTGGAAGCTGCAAGCAATACAAGTGCTGACAAGCTTCCTGTGCAACTTCCTGCTGCCGAATCAGTGTTGCCTGATAACCTCAACAAAGAAACACGTGAGATTAAAGCCATTCCGGAACATGATAACATATCCAAAGTCCATGGCAATGAAAATGAATCTAATCCTGCACCATCAGGTTCAGTGACATTTAGGAAAGCAGCACGTGGCCAAAAAAGAAAACCAGCTGCATCCCAGGGCCTTAATATTTCAGCACAGTATGTCATTGATGCAAATAATAAACGTGAAAGAAGATTTAGGCCAATTTGGTTCTCGTTAATTGCTTCCAATCACCAGTGAGATTTTTTTCCCTTGGCATAACAGAACTGAACTTGATTGTTTTTTTTTTTCCCCTCTTCATATATTGGTTTTATAATTTTGTAATTCATGGTTGCAGGGACGGCTATGCGCCCTTGCCACAGATACCCTCATGCTACTTGAGAGTCAAGTAAGTTTCATTAACCTCATGCTCTTCTATATTGTTATATTCTTTTTTGCTTGTTCCTGCCCATTTTGGTTTTGGAAATGAAATCACATAGTTCAATGTCATGTTTCCATGCACCGCGGCTCTTTCAGTCTTGGTGGAAGTTAATAGACACAGATCATATCTTATAAACGACTAGATTTTAAGTCTGCACCATGTCCAGGGTATTCTTGTCTCAGTATTAGATAATTCACACTGATTTGATTAACATGTCTATAACATGCTTGCTTATTTAACAAGGTTTCTATCAACTTCTCGTAACCTTTAAAATGCTGCTCTGGTATCACAAAAAAGGAATTTTTTTTCTACTGTTCCCTTTTGTTACTGCAATAACTGATAGTATTTGGGAAATTTTTTGGTTTTGAGACAGATGCCACATATTTTCAGAAGCTAAAAAGAACCTTTTATTCCAATTTTAATTGTTGTACAACACTATACCGCCTCCGTCGTTCGTCTATTATTCCAATTTTTTTTACTGGGAGCAGTGTTTCTTTCTTTCGTCTTAGTAAGCCTTTCAATACTGAAAATGAAAAATTGTGCTACAGTCCTTGTAGTAAAAGAAAAGTTACATTGTAGATTATGCAGAGGTTGTGCTACATTTAAGTTCATGGGTTAAAATAGAAGTTTTTATTCTTTTTCTGTATGGTCGGTGTATGTGCTTGTTTTTACTTGCCTTTTGTTGCCTTGCTATTTATTCAAAATAAGACACTGTCAAGTGATGATAACTTTTTAAAATGATCTCTTAAAATTGTCTGGCAATGCTTAGTGTAATTACTATTTTTAGTTTCTTGGAAGCACAGACATTAATTTTGATTTTGTTTTTCCAAATTCCATAGGGATGGCAATTTACCTGTTTCTTTCATAAAAAAGTATCTGGTAAAAAAGCTGGAGCTTACTAGCGAGGATGAGGTAACGTCATCGATGTCCCTTTTCAATTAATATCAATTCTTTCCCATTTCATTTTTCCATTGTACCCATCAATATGCCTAGTAAGTTGGCCGGACTTGAAATAAATCATTTGATGCTTAATACAACAGGTGGAGATCTCATTGCTAGGTAAGCCGGTAATTCCTACATTGCAGCTGCAGAACTTGGTGGACTTGTGGTTACGGACAACACCAGCATCACAAATAATACAGACCTCCCCAGGAAGCTCAGCAAAGGAATATGTGATGGCCCTCACATACGGTCGAAAAATGCAGCTCCGGTAGACCTGTTTTGGCTGTCCTTATAGCCGCAATTCCCGTTAAAAGGGACTGCAGTCTCGGCTGCCTTCACTGTTTGTTGTCAGCACGCATCTGCACTGAACATTTCATTTGTTTTTCCTCTTCATCCCTGCATGCATTATATGCATATACTGCTTTGCGTGCAGTGTGATGTACCCCGTACTTCATAGTTCATACTCTAGCAGGTTTTCTCGTTTGTAGAATTTTCTCACAGCAAAACCACAGATTTTGAAAAGAGATGCTAGTTTAACTTATAAATATAACAAAATAAAGCACAAAACCAATATAATTCTTGGAGCTTTTCACTTTTGTTAATCCGATTAAACATAAAACATAGGTTTTCCTCCTTTCTGACAATTTCAAAATCAAAACAATGGTATGACTTCCTCTCAACCCTTAATTGGAACCTCAATTCTACTTTGAATCAGTGCCATAATGCGATTGAGTGGGAAAGGAAACGTGAATTTTCCATGAATGTTACGATTGGGCAGCCTCATCCCATGGACAGAAACTGATAAATGGCACAATTTTGCTTCAGTATCTGACGGCTCACAATCACCGATGAAAATGAATTAGCACTGCATACATGATTACTACAAAAACTGCAGTTTTACAATTTGCAAGGTTCCAATGTATTCCAAAATGGCATGAACTGACACAGTGACCCATTTCCCCGTTTGCTCCACATTACCATGAGAAAACAATGGTATATACAAGTTTCTCTTTTAAAAGCACTAAAAAACATGATTTGAACCAAGAAGAAAAGCTGAACAACAATTACAGTGGCGTGAACACAATTCCAGGCTTCAGAAGCAAGGCGTTGGCATCAGAAGTGGATATGTTGGTTAGAGGCATGCCCCCCAGGAGGCTGTAATCTAGGTACCTGACCGAAGAACGAAGAAATGCTACCGTCTGCATGCAAACAGGCAAATACATAAAAACAAGCAAAAAAGCATTAGCCCAATCGCCAATTCATGAAACCAATACCTTGAAATAGAGTCTTCTTACTTTCAACTAACAAATAAAAACAAGAAGATAACAAATTTCTTATAATTCCACGCTTGAGGCTGTATTTTCTAGGGTCATCCTAAAAATCAAACATTAAAGACGTACAGCAGGAATCATCTAATGGCATCAGTTAGAAACAGATTTCGCCTGGCATAGATGAGATCAAACTCAGGAAACAACCATTACTGATGTATGGCAGGAAACAAAATTTTTTCTTTCTCCAATTAAAGATGTGCAGGAGGAGCTTAACACCTATTTCTACAAGGATGTCTGGAAACAAATTCACCATGGTAATCACTAGTAATCATGCATCAACAAATGATCAAGTCAGAACATTCCCAGGGTAGTTGTGTATGCATCCAATATACATAAGAAGTCATATGCAATAGAAAACTCAGCTAAATCCAATCCCTGACCAAGTCCTGATAGAGAATTTCAATAATTATATTCTAACAAAAAGTTATTCATGTCACTGTCCCATGTATGCGCTCATATTACATAAAGCATATGGCATAGACAAATCATTTCTCAACTGCAGTGGTACTGCAACGTTTCTCTCTTTGACCAATGGCCAGCACACACTAAAGGAGAAGAAAATATAGAAGACCCATTTCACGAGAGAGAAAGAAACTCTAATTCCCCAACTCAAAGTTGCGAAAGGATTCAAAAGAAAAAAACCATATATTGTAGAAAGGCATCAGATTATCAAACATCTACTAGTTTCTACATATGACTCAAGTACCGTAACAAGAAATTATAGGAAAGCCAGTCCATTTCTTTCTTTTTAGGAGACTGTTAATTTATAGCCGAGATTGCCGAACAATCCAACTGAAAAGGAAAAAGCCAAACCATACTATTATTTGGCACTTGCAGCAATATGGTCAGAAAGTGATGCCAACCATACTAACGTTCATTACAACCATCTTGGAAAACTACATTCTATTTTGTTCAATTGGAAACAAATGCACAGAGAATAGATAATCCAACTTACACATGGAGAGCAAAAAAAAAGAATGTCATGTTCATAAGAAGTAATTTTATGTTCTTCTTTTGGAACTCAGAACTGAAAGGGAAATAGGAATATATGCAATTTTTCATCAGTAAGGTATGGCACTGATCAATTCAAACTACAGTTACTAGAACTAACAGGGATAACCAAGTAATAGCCACAAACAAGTTGCTACGAGTTCTTGCTATTGCCCCACCAAAATGTTTACATGTTATATAGGAAGCGGTATGTAGCAAACTGAGATTTGAACTAAGTACATGAAAAAGAGTTATATATGGTAGTTTGGACATAAAATACATAATCCTGAAATAGATTCAGTTCTGCCTCAAAAGATTTTTTTTCTTTTTGCTCGTCCAGAAAAGATTGTTGATAGAAAGATCATATGTTTGTCAATTATTCAAACATAAATCGTCTATATATGGGTATATATTCAGCTTACACAAACAAAGCTCCGACTGTTTTGACACAATAAAAAACTATCAAGGCAGTATGATTACTGTGAAGACCACAACACCAACACATCTACATATTCTCTACATGATTTATATGCCAGTGGTACACAGTTAATCATTGCAGTATGAATACAGTTTCAGGTATCATCATCATCATGCTAAACATTATGCTTAGCAAAAAAGATATTTGCAGCTATGCTAGCATAACAGCAACATTCACTTTTTTTTTTTGCAACAGGGCATTCAGGGAGGCAATTGACATTTGATACAGTCGAATAAATAATTTTATAAGGACATTCTCAAATGAATTTAGTACCAAAAACAAAAACAGATGAATATCACAGATACCAATGAAGTAACCAAAGTGAAGTATATCTATTAAAATTCTATACTCCCTGTTGTAAACAAGTATTTAGAAGCACAATCAATCCAATGGTAATGCTTGTCATCATACACAACCCATTGTATGACTAAGTCATTAATAAACTCGAATAAAAACCCAATTGAGTTGCAGTTTCTCATTAACTAACACTACTAAAAGTGTAGACACAACCTAAACCAGCTTAAGAACACAATGCATCATACGTAACAATTTCCACCAAAAGTTCAAAACTTTCCAAAAATTCAACAAAACCCCAGAAAGGGGAAAAAAAATTCAAAACCAACCCACCTCATAAAAGCTCGAGAACACCATGGAAACAGTCACATAATGGTATAATTCCCACTTGGGTCTTGACCATCCGAGAGCAGAGCGCCATAAGGCGATTCTTGGTCATCCATAACAAGGTCCTCCGTGCCCCTAAACACCGCGTGCAAGGAAACCAAAGCCACCCCAATCACCACTGAAACGACGACGTTGAGCCACACATGGGTCAAGACCAGAGCTAACACCGTAACCACCCCAAGAACAACCATCACAACCCGGTCTCCGACAGTAAAGCCAAAGACCTCGAGGGGCTGGTCACGTGAGAAGTAGAGAACGAGCCACGCGACAAAGATGATCAAGAAGACGATGATGGAGACCGGGTGGTATATGAGGCTGAGGAAGAGCACGATCAAGAGGACCAAGGTGTAGTTGGAGCGGAAATGGGTCAAGTTCTGGGCCAGTCGGGTCGTGACCTCAGAGAGATTGGAGGGGAGGCTGAGTGCGGTCGGCTCCAGGAGCTCCCCCCATGGCCGAAGCGTGGCAATCGCTGATTGGCTCACTTCCTTCACCTGGGACACCAATCCGGTGGACATTGTGAAAGGGGTTCTTTAAAAGCCTTCGATTTTGGGGCGGAGAATGCTAAAATCCGAGCAAATCAGAAGATAGGTCTTTCCTCTTTGCGTTTCTTTCGTTTCAGTCTCGCTTGCCAATGGCGAAATGGCATTTGGTCAACGGTGTTGACCTACGCCTGGGATTAATCGGATTTTCTTTGATGGGTTTGGACTGGTCACTCACATCACAGTTGGTTCAACCCAAGAATTTGGGGCCCAACCTAAATCCAACTAGGGCTATTTGGGCTAAGCAAAGCCCAGTATTAAAGAAAATAAAAATTGTTTCTTACAAACGGCTCAGTTTTAAATCTATATCTTTAACTTATTAAAATGGTTGATAATTTATCAAAATAAATAAATAAAAAGTTTTTTTTTTTTTTT